CTGGGCCAGACGCCTCTCCTCCTCCTCCTCCTCCTCCTCCTCCTCCTCCTCCTCCTCCTCCTCCTCCTCCTGTGCCCAAGGGATCGTTGCGTCGGCAGTTGCGCACTTGCACTTGTTAGCTCCCGGCGCAGCTTCGACAGCACACGTCGAACTGACCCGCAGCAGCCCCTCGCCTTGCGACAGAGTCCAGCCCGGTCGATGGGATGCACTGTGCGTCTGTCTGTAGCCAGCCACCGCTGCACGAGAGTCATGACGAAGGCTACGCTGGCCAGGCTCACAGGATTTGCCGGTTGATCAACCGGTCCGAGGGTTTACTTTATCGCAAATGTTTCTCGAGCCAGTCTTGGACCGCACACCCGCTTTGTCCCAGAAGCACGGAATCGGCTCGCCCAGCAGCTGCCAATCCTGCACACGTTCTGGTCAGGGCTGGCGATCATGCCGCGAACGCGCTGCGAACAGCCCCAGCCAAGGCCGCTGGGTCACAGTTCCAGTCGCGGCCAAGCAAGAAAGGGACCTGGAGGTACTGTAAGTACTCGGCTACTTGACCGACGATCAACTTACTCCGCGTCAAGCCCCGACTCGGCGACCAAGTAGAGCGAGACGCAAAGGCGCCCGCCAGGGACATGGCGTTGATCCGCCTGGCGATCACGCGCTCCCTCAGGAGCTCGACGAGGCACGGCAGAGGCTGGCCCGTGCCGCTGCGCCCCCTGCGGCCCATGCCCACGCCGCGCGACAGGCTGCCCTCCTCGGCCCCTCCTCCTCCTCCTCCTCGGCCCCTCCTCCTCCTCCTCCTCCTCCTCCTCCTCCTCCTCCTTGCGGCAGCGCTGCTCCGCTTCTCCGCGGCCTCCAGGCGGCGCCCCGACCTCCTGCAGGACGCGGAATGCCCCCCGTCGGCTTCCTGGCTCGGCCGCTGCATGAGGCTGCTGCGGCTCGTCGTGTTGGCAGCAGTGACGGCCCAGGCGCGTCCCTCGAGGGTGAACGACCGCTGCCTCGCCGCCTTCGGCTCCTGCGGCAGCTTGCCCAGCGCTCCGATGCGCAGCCGCTTGGGCACCAGGAGCCCCCGCGCGTTGAGGAGCTCTGCCAGCTGCTGCTGTTGCTGCTGCTGCTGCTGCTGCTGCTGCTGCTGCTGCTTGGCCTCGTCGAGGCTGGCGATGGCAGCGCCGAGATCGGTGCAGACCGTGGCATCGCCTCGGGCGCCACCGCTTGGGCCCCCCCTGGATTGGAGCGCCGCCGACAGCACCAGGAGGAGGCAGGGCCGCGTGCGCAGCTTCGGCATTGGCCAATGCCGCGAAGCGTTGCTCGGCCACCGCGACTTGTTCAGCGGCTACGTGCTTCACAATTCGACCGACTCCTTCCCGTCGAACTGCCCCCGAATCGACGCCACGTATTGAGGCCCCAGCAGCGCCAGCGCCGCCGCCTGCTTCTCGTCCGTGATGTGATTGGGCGCCCCGGGCTTGAGCTTGGCCGCCTCGGCCTGACGCACTCGTTGAAGCGCCTCCTCCGCGTCGAAGGTCCCTTGCGCCGAAGTGCTCTCGGTCTGCGCGCTAGCCCACGCAGCCTGGGCCTCAGCGCGTCCACGTCGGCGTCCGCGGCCTTGTGGCGCTTGTCCAGCATCTGCCTCGCAATCGAGACACGCCACATCGCGGTCTGGGCCACGGAGTCGTGCGTCTTGGCTTTGGGCGCCGTGCCCTCGGCCTGCTTCGTGTTGACATTGGCCTTCTCGGTCTCGGGAATGCCGAGGCCCCGCTCCTCGAGCAAGGCCATCGCAACGAGCAGCTCCGAGTCGGCCACCGCAGCCTTCGCGGGCGGCCTGCCTGGCTGGGGCGCGACTGCGTCCGCCGTGCCATCCGCGCCTGCCGTTGTGTTTTTGTTCTTATTCCCCGAACCGCGTTTGCACTTCGGGCCTGTGCTTTGCCTCCCCAATCAGAGCTGTGCGTAGCCCGCCTAGCTTTTAACCGGAAGAGGTTCGCTCTCGCCCCGCAGACCAAAAAGTTTGCACTTCGGGGCTGTTGTTTCCAACAGGGAGCTGGGCGTGGCGGTCGGTCCGGAGGCTATGTCGTCGCCGTCGTTGCCCAGTCGCTGCCTCGTCGCCGCCCGTCGTCTGGGCCTGGGGATCGGTCTGGCGGCTATGTTGTCGCCGTCGCCGCCCCGTCACCGCCTCGTCGTCCTCCGTCGCCTGGGCCTGGGGGGTCGGCCTGGCGGCGATGTCGCCGTCGCCGCCCGTCGCCGCCTCGTCGCCGCAACAAGGACTGCACCACAGATATTGAACCATATAGAATGCACCACATAGATTGCACAGCATAGATTGCACAGCACGGCATAAATGATGCACCACGTAGCTTGCTCCACATAGATCGAACAGCATAGATACATTGCGCACCAGATGTGTTGGCCCACCTAGAGCCCACACATATATATATATATATGTGTATGTATGTATGTATGTATGTATGTATGTACGTATGTTTATATATATATATATGCATAACGGATAGTGCACATCATATTTTGCACAACATCGATTGCGCAACATAGACTGCACCACATAGCTTGCACCACATTCATCGCTCTATATCGGTTGCACAACGTATCATATTGGTTGTACCACATCGGTTCTCCTTTTTGAAAAAAGTCTTTGGACCCCCCCCCAGCTTAACGGGTCACTTTTCCGTATTGCTATTTACATATGGTTTTGCTTCATCGCCCATCCTGAACATGAGTTCGTACCATCCTGGCCAAACCGGCAGCAGTTTCCCCCTCAACCTCTGCAAACCATGTTATCGCGCGCATTCGTTTCTCAAAAACAATCAGTTGTCAAGAATCTCTTGCGACGAAGTGCACACGCGCGCGTCGTCACGCACGCATGCCGAAAGCTTTCCACAATTTGTGGTGTCGCAAGGATTTCAAAATCGAGTAAGAAACACGGATTCGCAACACGAATTCTCAACTAAAAAATTGCGCCCGGGATCTTGCGAATTTTGCGCCCGGGCTCTTGTGAATTCTTAAGAGAAACATCGGTGTTTCAACATTTCCCTAACTTGCTACCAAGCGGGTCTCTCGCGCGCGCATGTCGGATTCGCTCGAACCCCTTTGCGCGCGTGCTGTCGCAATAAACTCTTGCAAACAACGGGACGAAGTGCGCACGCGCGCGTCGTCGCGCGCGCATGCGAAAATCCTTCAAAAACCTTCGGGGTCATACGGATTTCAAAATCGAGTGTCCTGAAACATACAAGGGCACATGGTGTTACAACATCAGTTTTCAAACATGCTTGCGCTCGCGCTCCTGCAAATTCGTAAGAACACGATAGGTTTTTTTCCGACATTGCCATTAAATTCTGCCAGACGAGCCCCTCGCGCTGCACGTCGAAATCATTCGAACGCCCTTGCGCGCGTGCTGGCGGGGGGGGGGGGGGCACGATCCGTGTCAAATAATATCACGCGGGCCTCTCGCGCGTCGGCCGCGCGCGCATGTCGAACTCCGTCAAAAACCTTCATCACCGACGCGAGGATGCCGTCATCGTCGTCGGCGTGATCAGCATCGGTGTGCCGTCACTGGCCCTGCCGTCTTCGTTGTCACCATCGTCACCAGCATCGCTACCATCACCATCGCGTTTACCGCTGTCGACGTTGCCATGATACCGCGCCCGTCCGTCCTCTTGCTTTGCCTGCTTCTTACTCTATCCTTGCCGCTGCCGCATTGGATCTCAAGGATCCTTTACACCGCCCGCTTCTACAGCGTTTTGATACACGACCCGCTCTACATCGCTGTGCAGAAAGATCACATAGTTGAACATCTTCCTTCTTACATGCTCATTTTTAGTCTCCTCCTCCTCTTTTTCCTCCTCCTGTTTTTGCCGCCCGCGGACGGGGCGGACCCGATTACGTTGTGGGGGATTCCCGCGGCAAGGCAGTCTGGGTCTTCCGTTCCGCCCCAGGCCGGCCTCCTGTTGAGACCAGCCCGAGAGGTCAGTTTTCAGTTCTTCCTCCTCCCCTCCTCCAGTTCCTCCCCCCCTCCTCCCTCACCATCCTTTCCTCATTAACTTAGCTGCCTCGACACGCCCGTTTTGATACGCAACACGTGCCGTGTTCAAAACGTCCGTGTCAATACGTCGCGTGTTGGCTCAACGTATTGGCCCACGTTTTGGCGAACGCATCGCGTCAGACCTGCGTGGTCAGACTACGTGTTGAGCTCCGCATCGATACGCCACGTGCTGCGTGTTGCGTATCGGGGCAGCTCAGCTCATTACTCGTTCCTGCTGCATCCCTCCTCCTTACTCCCTCCTTCCTCCTCCTCCGCACGACTCCCGGAGCAGGCTTCGCGGGCGCCGCGGGGCCTGGCTTACGACGCAACCATGCATCCAGAGGATGGAGAGGAGGGGGAACCGAAGAGTAAGAATAAGAAATCAAAGAAGTGTGATAGGACAGAGGAGGAGGAGGAGGAGGAGGAGGAGCACGAGAGGAAGAAGGAGAGGGGAGGGACAGCAGGACGACGATGATGATGATGCTGATGATGATGATGATGATGATGATGATGATGATGATGATGATGATGATGATGATGATGATGATGATGATGAGCAGCAGCAGCAGCAGCATCATGATGATGAAACGGGAAGAGAAGGTGGCGGGGGAGGAGAAAGAGGAGGGGTGAGGTGAGGGGGGTAAGGAGGATGGGGATGAGGACGGCGAATTGAGGATGAGGAAGGAGAAGGGAGGGAATGCGTGAGTGTGAGGGGGTAGAATGAGGCGAATGAGGGGGAGGATAGGGAAGGAGGAAGAGGATGAGGAAGAGGAGAAATGATGCATCGGCTCACGGACAATATGCTTCTGCCTGGTCACTACGCTCGAGGGTTCGTTTCTCTCCCAGTCCCTTCCCGCGCTTCCCCTCCCATTCCCCTCCCTTCCCTCCTCCACTCTCCTTCGCTCTTCTCCGCTTCTCTCGTCGTGTTCCGCCCCCCATTCCCAGCAGAGCGAGCGGTTGGATGCGAGATGGGAGCGAGGATTGCGGATTGCTCCGACACGTGGAAGGTGGCCTTCCACGATTTCAAGGAGCCACGCCGCTGGGCGCGCCCAAGGCAGGGCGGTTGGAGCGGGGGGCGGCCCCTGGAGAGCGCTGCTCCGTCGGGCGAGCCTCACCGACAGCAGCACAGAACCGTCTGTGGTCCGAGCTATGGCCGAAGACTGCCCCCGCGGGTGGCCAGCCACGGCTTTCGAACTGGATGCACGGTCGGGAGCCTCGGCTTAGTTCTGGCCAGCCACGCTTCGGCGCGACACGCCATCCACGTCCCAGTCCCCGAGCGTCAACGTCTCGAGTTGTTTCAAGCCTCCCGCGGAGCGGAGCGAAACGCTATCCGCTCGCAGGGCAGAGCGTATCGCCGCGGCAGCTGCCGCGACACGCTCAGCAAACGTTCTTGACCGTATGCCGGGATGTCATCACAACGCTGTGCGCCGTTGCCCGGGGGGAGGTTGCAGTCATGTGCGCAGTGGGCGGTGAGGTTGCAGCTGCCGTGCTTTCTTACTGGACACGTGTTCGCCGCTGTGTGCGGTAGTGTGACAGTACACTTTGGAACAGCACAGAGCATGGCAGCACATCATAGTACGATTCGAACCACTACTAGCGCTTGCGCCATCGACGCAGGTCAACCCACACTGCCAGATCGTGTCTTCTTCAAGGGGTATGACTGGAAAGGCTATTGCGCAGCATCCACGCCTCAGTCGCAACTAGTATGGGCATGTATGAACTGCCATATCATAGCGTCTGTGCTCACGGCATAGTTGTTCAGGAATGATTCTGCACATGCAGATGATGTGTCAACCGCTGATTGTCAGCTAGGCAAATCATCGCATACTTAGTCCACCGAATGGTCACTCCCAGCATGTGTATCACATGTACAGCTCTCATGTTCATCTCGTGGTTTCCCTTCTGACAGTCAGATCACCGCACATTATGGGTGGATATGCCAGATGATTATGTTATGCCGCGGTAGTTCTGGCAGCCCGGCTTCCTGGTTGCCGCGAGGCGCAGCAGTCGGTTCGGTATTGTTTTGTGTCGTTGTGTGGTAGAGATTTTGGGTTTGGGTTACAGTACAAATAGTCATCGAATCCCCCTTCCTGTTCTCCCTCGTCCACAGGGTCCCCGACGGAGTGGCAAACTTGTAGTAGCACCGATGCTGATTTCTTGTCATGTCTGCAGTGCATCTGCAGTTTACAAAGTCGGAGAACGTGGCCACGCATGTTACGTTGTACGTTGGGTCAGCGGTTGACGAGTGAGTTGGGCGTGGTTGGTCGGAGGTTGTGTTCCCTGTGAAGTAATGTGTGTTTTCAGGTGGGTCAGCGTTGCGGCGAGGACGAGGAGAGTTGGTTCGACTGCTGGGAGAAGTCCATCGGAGAGAACGAGACGCGGGACGGCACGCGAGTGGCCCTGTTTCGGGGAGCATGCGCACACGAGTTAGTTCTGGCAGACGGCTGGTCAGAAAGCAATTCCCACACATACCACTCCCCCCCTCATTCTCGGCATCCCACCAACTTTCTCCCTCCTGCCTCCTGCTGATTCCCCTCCTTGTCCTCGGCCTCCTCATCCTGGTCCTCTTACCGAGTCTCGTCCTCATCCTCCTCCTCCTTCGTCCTATGTCCTGCCTCCTCCTTGTTCGCTGTTGCATTGGGTGCCGTCAGATTGTGCATGCCTTCTTGGGCATCGACGTTGCTGAAGCGCAGTGCTTTCCCAGGGTGGCCCCTCCTGTGTGTAGACTCAGTGTCGTGCCGGCCGAACGTGATGTCGTCCATCTCATTTCGTCCGTTTCGATTCGTCCGCTTCGATTCGTCCGTTTCGATTCACCCGCGTCGGTTCGTTTGGTTTGATGATTCGCCAGGGCTTCGAAAGAGGGCGAAACGAACGAGGAGGGAACGAAAGCGGACGGAATGAAAGTCAGTGTTTGGGGGCCAGGGTTTGGGTTTCCCGCGGGGAGTCCAGGGCCTGCAGGGGCCCGTGATCCCCGGGGGCCGAGCTGTCGACAGCTCGCGCGTGACCACGAACAGCCCAGAGTGTTATCAGTGTTTCTGTTCGGTCTGTGGCAAGGCGGCGCCCACCGACGCCACCACCTTTACGAGCCGTGTGGCCCCTCTCGCAGAGGCCGCGAGAACCTGGCGCGACTCGGCCAAGACCTTGCCACAGAGCCACCGAGCTGCCCCCGAGGGCGGTGCAAGACACGCTGGAGGTCCTCACAGGAAGGGCTTCGTTCTCAGGCTCCACGCCTGGCCCCAGGTAAGGAGGTGGGGAGGACTGCGTCCCACAACGCTATCCCAATATTATCCTCGCTCGTCTGCCATTCTCCCCCCGACCTCATGCGCCTGCTCATCCTCCGCCGCATCCGTCTGCTTCTCATCCTCGTCCTTCCCATTATGTGTCCCCCTCCTCCTCCTCCGCCTCCTACTCATCCTCCTCCTCCTCCTCCAATCCTTGTCCTTCTATGTTAGCCAGCGTGGACCACACACGGTTTGTTTCTAGCAGTATATGTCGTGCACTGTAGGGAGAGCAACCTAAGTGGTGCAACTCACTTGTGGAACTCGCAGTTGTCAACTCCACTGCTCGCGCAATCATCCCACCCACCCACCCGCAACTTGTTTTGCAACACGCATGCGGCGGCGATTGCGATGAGCGCTTGGTGTTGGCTGGTGTATCTCTGCGGCCGCGCTTGCCCGCGCATGCTCGCGCCCGCAGCGGCCAGCTGGTGCGGCGCCACCGACGCGTCCGCGGTGGCGCTGACCTCTGGGCACTCCCCAGCAGGCACTTCGTGCGAGTCGGCCACTTGGGCGGGCGCGGTAGCATAGCAACGTCGATAACGGTAGACACGATGATGGTAGCAACGACGCTGGTGACGATGATGACAACGGCGACGGCACGACCAGTGACGGCGCCGATGCTGATCACGCCGACGACGATGACGGCGCTCTCGCGTCGGTGATGAAGGTTTTGCAAGGAGTTCGACATGCGCGCGCGGCCTGGCACACACTGGCTCTTCAGTGAACCCAGCGCATTGTTGTGTCTTGCTCGGCTTTGTTTGGCATTGCCTCGCACTGCTTGGCACTGCTAGGCAGCAAAGAGCCAAGACCGAGAAACCCCAGGAACGCAGTCAGGAAGCAAGACCAAGAAACTCGAGGAAAGCAGTCAAGAAAGAAGACCGGGCAACACGAGGAAGGCAGTCAAGACATCAGATAACGCAACCCGAGGATGGCAGTCAAGAAACCAGACCAGGCAACCCGAGGAAGTAGTCAAGAAACAAGACCAAGCAACCCGAGGACTGCAGTGAAGACATAAGACCAAGCAACCCGCGGAAGGCATTCAAGAAAGAAGACCAAACAACTTGATGAAGGCTGATTGGCGCAGGCGTGGCACCCACTGGCTCTTCACAAACAACTAAGACCCTTTGTAGGCAAGCCTACTTGGGGACAAGCAAGATACAACCATCAGGCAAGCCTACTTGGGGAAGAACATTGGGAACTGGAACTTGCGCGTGACACAGGAACACCCATGCCTCGCTGGCGGATGTATGCAGTCGAAGCTCGACTCGAGAACTCCTGGCGGGATCTGGCTTCTTCTCCTTCTCCTCCTCCCCCTCCTCCTCCCCCTCCCCCTCCTCCCTTGGACAAGCGATGTGGGAGCGTGTTGCTCCTCCTCCTCCTCCTCCTCCTCCTCCTCCTCCTCCTCCGTCCGTAGCCATTTTGGCTCAAGCCATTTTGGCTCAAGTTGCCATCTCTCGAGGTGGCGCAGGGCCAACAGCGCGCTCCAGGTCTGGCTCGGCCCGCGTCTCAGGGGTCAGCCTGTGAGCATCTCTTTCAGCTAGTGAGCACCTGGCGGTGCCACACTCGGTACTCAACATTCTCCCTCCGGAGCAGTTTGACAGTACGGCCCTTCCTCCGCCATGGCGAAGGCTACAGGGCAGGCTGCGTGGGTTCAGTGTCAGAAATGTGGCCCGCGCTCTTGGACTCCTATTGCTAGCGGCAAGCAGTGGTGTCATCTTTGCGGGCTCTACTACAACAAGGGTGATCAGCCTCAACGTGGAGCCAGTCGCCGCAAGGGCGGTGGCAAGAGCGCAGGCGGCGGCATGGGCGCGGGCGGCGCAGGCGGCGCCGCTGGGCTCTCGCAGCAGCTGCTGGATGCCATCGCCAAGCAGGTCACCGCCATCACGGCGGCCGCCGCCTCAGCCCAGCCGCCAGCAGCAAGCCAGCCTGGCCACGGGAAAGGATCGCGTGGCACAGGCAAGGGCAAGGACACGGCAGCGCCCCCACCAGAGGCGCCTGCCACCGACGACAAAGACAAGAAGATCGAGCAGCTCGAACTTCTCGTCAACACCTATCAGCAGATGGACGCCACCGTCATGCCCGATGTGGCCGCCAAGCTGCAGCAGGCCCGAGCGGACCTGGTGGACGCGCGCGCGGCGCAGGCCGCCAGCCTGCCGCCCGCACAGCGCATGGCGCGCTGCCACACACGCGCGCAGCGCGCGGCCGAGAAAGTTGAGAAGATCAAGCACCAGATATCAGAGCTGGAGAAGACCAAGCAAGAGCTGCAGGTGCAGCTCGACGCTACTAACCAGTCCATGGAAGAACAGAAGAAGCGCCTCGAGCGGGCCCAGGAGGACCAGCAGCGCGAGGAGCAGGACGCCAAGTCAGTCTGGGCCGACACTACCCCCGATGAAGGACCTGGCTCGCTCGCGGAGTTCACCAAGACCTCCAAGGCCAAGATCGCTGAGGCCAAGACCAAGTTTGCAGGCAATGCAGAAATCCTCAGATTTATCAACGACATGTCCAGCATGGTGGGGGCCTTGCCTGAGAAGGCAACACCACCGCCCCCGCCATCTCCATCGATTGCGGACACCCCGATGTTCGATTCAGAATTCTTCAAAGCCGAGATGGAATCCCTTGCCAAGCATGTGCCCAAGAAGGAGCTCGAAGCCCTGCAGAAGGCCCGTGCGACGCACCAGGACCAGCAGGCCGCAGCCGCGCGCCAGCTGGTCAGCCCATCGAGCAAGGGACCTGGCAGCGGGCGCGGCCACCGCCCGTATGGGTGACGGTTCCACTCCGACTTCGAGGACAGCATCAATTGAGCGCTGTGCAACGGCGACTTGCGGTGCTTCCCCGACTGAAGCTGACTGCCAGCCAGTTTCGCCTGCGGCCAAACCAGCATCAGCCAGTGCTGGGAAGGCCTCCCCCACTTCCCTCCACTCATCTACTCCCGACAGCACCCGTTTCGAGTCTTTTAATGGGTCTTCCTGGGGCTCCCTCAAGAAGCGCCTCCTTGAGCGTGCGTGGGGACCCACCAAAGTTTTGTTTGCTCAGGAGGTGCACCTAGTCTCTGATTTAAGCATAGCCGAGGCCTCAGATTGGGCCATAAGGCACGGCTGGAAGAGTTTTTGGGCCCCGTCGGTTGCCACTACCTCTTTTGCCCCCTCAACGAACGGTTTAGGGGAAGTAGGTTCGTCAGCTGGGGTCGCTCTCTTCGTTGCCGATGATCTTGGGTGTTACACTCTGGAGGAACCCGTGGGGCCCCCTGGAGGAATTTTGGTGCCACACCGAGTCCTTGGAGTCGTTGTGGAGTTCCCCCAGACCTCGGGCATCCTCTGTCTATCTTTGCATGGGCACGTGAGTCAAGGCTTCTCGCCAAACAATGTCGCCATCCTCGAGGCTATTGCCGATTTGGTCAAGGTCTCGGGGCTGCAGTACATATAGCAGGAGACTTCAATATTACTCAGGACCAGCTTGAGCATTCGGAGTTCTGCAATTATATCAAGGGTCAGCTCTTCGCACCGGTGTGCTCGATGGGCACATGCACGGCCAGTTGTTCAGTCATAGATATGTTCATTGTCGAGCAGCAGCTAGCGAACGCTGTGCGAGCCATAGATGTCGATTTCGACTGGGATGCTAGGCCACATTTCCCAGTTGTGCTGGATCTGCCACCAGAATTTGGAGAGGTCAAGGTCCTTCAATTCCCTACCATCCCTACCCTCCCCTCCTCATTCGACAAGGATGAAGAGGATGAGGATATTGTACATCCCAGCACCGTTTCTTGGAATAAAGTTTCAGATCACGTAGGTAGTCTTATCTCTGCTATAGGTAACCAATCCAAGGCAGTGTTGCGCGAAGGCTTCGCCTCGGCCTACGCGCACTGGGCCAACGCCGCCGAGCTCGAGCTAGCGCAGCGGACGGCCAGCAAGGTTCACAAGTCAGGCTTGAGAGCAAGAGCCCCCCAGCCAGTACTCCGAGCAGTCACCAAGAACGAGAAAGCTCACAAGCAGTACGGCCTCTTTCCCACTGCGCCGAGCTGGATTGCCACTCGCACGCACCGCCTCGCCAGTTACTTGGAGGAGGAGGAGGAATGGACTGTGGGGAAGGCGATCGGCAGAGAGTCTAGGCCGGCAGTATTCGATCTAATTTCCCGCGTAGTGCGTGCCACGCCAAAGCATGTGATGCAGCACGAGAGCACGCGCATACTCCTCACAGATATCCAGCAGTATCTCAAGCCCGTGCACGCAGATTTCGAGGCCGAAGCTTTTTGTTGCGGCAAGCTAGCCGCCACCGTCGCGCAGCTGTTCACTTTCAAGGCCAGGGCTGACGCGCTTGCTAAGAAGGTCCTCTCAGATGTGCGATCAGCCAACGCCAGCTCTTGGAAGGAGTGGGTTGACAAGGCCCTCGACAAGGGGGCCAAAGCCGCACACAAGTTCATTAAGGAGCGCACCAAATGGGAGCCCGACACGGTGGTCATCGAGGGTAAGCTCACGGCCTCCATACAGAGCACTCTGGACACCTACAAGGCCAAGTTTGGGAACTTTTGGGAGCCCGCCGTTGAGCCTCTCCACAGGGACAACGACCTCCATGAGCCCATTGGGATCCCCTCTGTGGACGCCCTCGGGGACCTCTCTAAGAGTTACTCTAAGTCGTCAGCCGTTTCCCTCGACGGGTTCCACATGAGGCACCTCAGTATGTTATCCGATGAGGCCCTCGAGGCCTTCGCCAGACTCATCTACATTTCGGAGGTTCTTGGGGAACTTCCAGGACAGCTCCAGTGGGTCCTCGTGGCGCTCCTCCGCAAAGTCACTGGCGGCTACAGGCCCATCGGTATCTTCCCCATGATGTACAGACTCACTGGCAAGCTGCGCTTGCCCATCGCGCAGGACTGGATCGCTAAGCACGACTACTCCTGGTTTGCCTGTGGCGCAGGCAGATCGCCAGTCGACGTGGTATGGCGGCAGAGTCTCAGAGCTGAAGGGGCCGTCTCGGGCGGAGGGGCCTCTGCTGGTGTTCTCTGGGATATGGAAGCCTTCTTTGAACGCTTCAAGCGCGACAAATTGCGGGCTCGAGCGCTCGCTTTAGGCTTTCCTGAGACTCTGCTCGCCTATCACCTTGCAGGTTACGGCTCGTGGAGACACATAGCGTGGAAGCGCTGTGTGGCTCTGCCCATCGCAGCCACCAACGGCATAGTGGCGGGCTGTTCTTTCTGCATCCTCTATGTCAGGGTCTATTGCTTTGATGCCTTCTTGCGAATAACATCGCTGCACTCGGCCGTCTATTTCGATTTCTATTTGGACGACACGGCACCTGTCACGGCACCACGGTCAGAGTGCTCAAGCGTATAGTCAGTGCCGCCAAGGAGCTAGCCCGTCTCATCGAGATAGACTTAGAGGCCAGGATAGCTGTTCATAAAGGAGCTGTCGTCGCGTCGTCGGTGTCGTTAGCCAGGCTGCTCACGTCTGCTCTCGGGACCACAGGGGGCAAGCTCCAAGCGGTCGCCACTAACTTAGGTTGCGATTTTACGGCTGGCAAATCCTTCGGTTGCAACGGCGCAGCCGCCAAACGCAAGGTCAGGCTCAGAACCGCTACGGTCAGAGGGCAACGCCTGCGTAAGCTCACCGCTACCGCTGGACAGAAATGTCGCAAGATTGTCACTACGGGTCTCCTCCCTGCCGGTGCTTTCGGGGCCGCCGTCGACGGTCTCAGTAACAAGTCTTTGTATCTGCTGCAGTCTCTGGAGATTGCGCAAATCACGCCCTGTTCCTCCAAGAAATCCAGGAGCGCGGCCTTCGCCGTCACGGGGTCCAGGGCTGACCGTTGGGCCTTAGGGCCCGTTCTCAGGTGGGCCCATGAAGTGTGGCACACCACCCTCGGCAAGTACGCGACCCCAGGGACCCTCGGCCTTCTTGAACTCAAGCAGATATATAACAACGTGCAGCCAATAGGACACTTGTGTTATAACGCCGTGCGAGGACCACTCAGTGCGGCAGCTCACGCACTTCACCGAATCGGCTGGAGTTTCACGTCCGCTTTTACGCTGCAGGACCATTTCGGCAGGACGGTCAGGCTCACTGACACCTCGCCGAGCCTGCTTGCCGACCTGCTGCACCGAGGATGTCAGAGGAGGTGGGAAACACTAGCTGCTAAGAGCATACCCAGCCCATCCCCCATGAAGAGAGTTTGTTTTGATGTTGTTCGTACTCTGCTTTCCCCCAAAAGCAAGAAACTCTCCCCCAGGTTTAAGGCCACTCTCCAAACTCTCGTGGTCCAGGGATGGTGGACCGAAGAAAAACTCGCTCAGATAGGCTACGACGTGCCTAATGAGTGCCCGCTTTGTAAAGCCTTCGGGGACACCATACACCACCGTCTCTTTACTTGTCAGCATCCAGAGGTAGTTGCCCTCAGGACAGAGCTGCTGCCGCCAGACGTGCTGCAGGCTGCGCTGGAGGCGCCAGAGAATAGCCCCCCTGTACTGCTTCGGTATCTTCGAGCACCCAGGGGAACAGCATGATGATTTTCCGCTGCCTAGAGAGGATCCTATCGTTCGATTCGTTAGACACGACGGTCAGCCAGACACGGTACCAGACTTTGGGGGGCTCACGGGAACCGACGGGTCGTGCACCAAGACAGGCATAGCGGAGTTAGGCAGAGCGACGTTTTCGGTAGTGGCTTACAGTACCGACGGGGCCCCAGAGGCCTCCTTTTATGGCGCTGTTGCTGCGAACCTTCCCCAGACTTCCCAGGCTGGGGAGCACATGGGCTTCCTGGTGCTCCAGGAGGCCCTCACGAAACCCTCGAAGACTTGGGTGGACTGCAAAGCGGTCCTAGATCAGCATGCTAGGCCACTGCCGACGCGTCTCAGTAGTAAGCTCAAGTATTCAGGCCTGCACAAGCTTGCGCTTGCGCGGGATAGCAGATATCACCTCGAGACGGCCTCTAAGGTCAAGAGCCATCAGGATATAGAATCATTGGCTGGAGAGGCCAGACTTGCGGCGGAGATCAATGCTGCAGCAGATAAGACGGCGAAAGCCGCCGTCGACTGTCACCCCAGATTTGACCCGACCGCGGTGCAGGATTTGCAACGCAAGGTCGAGGCCGCTCGAGCGATTGCCTTATATGCGCCCAGAGTTCTCGCTTTGTGCCAGCGCAACAGGCACAAGAGCGAGAGAGCCGCTTTGCCCTGTAAGGTTCAGGCCTCCATCGTCGTCCACGACTGGGAGGTTCTGCAGGGGCCGATACCGTACAGGTGCAGAGCATGTTTTACGTACGCCCGATCGTATAAGGCCGCAGTCGCGCGCGAGAGGCAGGCATGCCAACCTCTTGCCAGCGCATACCGACGTGGCCTAGAAGCCATTCATGCCAGCCATCAGATGGCGATTGCGCACTTTGCCACGCCTGTTGTGTTCTGCTTAGTCTGTGGGCGTTATGCCCAGTATGCTTTCAGAGGTTTGCCCGCCACATGTCCTGGAAGGCCTCCCAAAAGTGGTGGACGCGCGAATGTGAGAAATCGTCTGTTGGATGGCAAGCATCCGAGATTTCGTCTTTTTGCTTCAGAGTCCGAGCGGTACAACACCGCAGAAGTTCAAAGGCAGCAGCGCGCGCAGAGAGTGAGAGCAGCAGCGCGTTTTGCTACGCCGCTCCCGAGCCCGCCGGCCCCACACCCTGTGCCTCGCCCACAGCGGCCCGAGGCCAGACTGTTGCGCCAGCCGCAATCCAGCCCGCGCCAAGAGGAGGATGAGGAACCGCTCATCCCTCCAGTGGGTTTCGGCGAGGATGATTCGGACTAGGCCCAGTCCAAGCCCCCACCGCCATCTCGGAGGTGCTGCGGGTTTGTGAGGGGCCACTCGCCTGGCGGTCTCTGCCCTGGGTCCCCGCCTCCTCGGCACGCCCAGGCACCGTCAGGCCACCCCACCTGGAGGGTGATCGGCCAGAGCCGCGTGCGTATGGCCCGAGGAGGGAAAAAAAAAACTCCTCCTCCTCCTCCTCCTCCTCCTCCTCCTCCTCCTCCTCCTCCTCCCCTCTCTCCTCTCCTCTCTCTCCTGACCTCCTCCTCCTCCTCCTCCTCCTCCTCCTCCTCCTCCTCCTCCTCCTCTCGCTCTGCAAAAGCGCTCGCTCCTCGCTCCACGCGGCTTGCCCCTCGAGGAGCACGCCGAGGCGGAGTCGTCGAGGCAGCTGGACCACCGACCTCCCTCCGTAGGCGCTCAGGGGTGAAGCCACCCAGGGTCGTGTTCGACTCGATCGTAGGTAGCCCGCGCTGGAAGCACTCAAAGCATACATGTAAACCTGGGCAGTTCCACGCCGGTTTCTCGGGTCTGCACCGGACACCCCCCTCCCCGGGGGCGCACTCCGCACGCCGGGGCAAGGGTGTGGGAGGGGTGTCCTGCGCCGGCCGCAGAACTCTGCTCGGACCTCCGGATGTTGGTGTTCATGTTGCCCCTGCCCCTCTGCATCGTCATCCCTGCTTGGGACGGCGTAGCGCTTCACGCTGTCAGGGGCCAGGTGCTCTGACCAGGCGAAGCGGAGTGCTCCTCACTAATTATTGGGGGGTCGGTTTCGGTCTCGGTGCGGCTCGTGTCGCGCATGAAGGGCGGGGCGAAGCTGCGCGAGCGGGCGGAGAAGGAATCTCCTGTCGCAGCCGGGGGTAGGCTCGGCTGATGAAGTTCGTATTCCTGTTTGGCGGTGGGACGCGAGTGATCCCGTACAGAGGGAGGTCATTCGGTAAGCCATCTCGGACCATCTTGAACGCTACAATGACCCGCCGCCCCCCCCCCGTCCAGATCCAGGGGGAGGGGGGGGAGAGGTCAAGCTAACACCCCCTGCAGGACGGAACGTCTCCCAGAAGGAGAAGAAGGGGGTTGGAGGGATTGGAGCTCTAAACCACCTGCGCCCTGAAAGGCTGGTAGGGTTTTTTCTTTTCCACACGAAAACAAGGCGACCCATGCGGTGCGCAGATGACGGTTTGAATCGCGCTTTTGTGTGACATTGGAATATTTCCCAGGCAGTAGACAGTTGCCTGTTTCGAACAACCTTGCATACGATTACAATCGATACATCGTCGCACTCATTTTCGCAATTCGATCTCTTCGTGGTCGATCCAAACTTTGCACGAGTACAAATCGCAAGATACAGGATCTGGGTTGTGCGAAGCTTTTTTCCTTGCCCTAGGGCAAGTTTGTTAGGGAATGTAAAGCCGATGCGCGGCCCCACCGCGCACTGGTTCATGTCGCTCGGCGGCCGTGAGCGTGGGAGTCGGCTCTTCGCCGCCAAGCCCCGAGCGCGCGTGACCCGCGGCGTGTGAGCAAAGACAGCACTGCCGCGCGAAAGGAAGAAAGAGTCAGGGACGAGACCCCTTGGGCCCCGCCCTGCCCCTCCTCCTCAACAGCCGCGGCTGCCCTCCCAGGAGGTGAGATGTCCTCGGGCGGCACACCCGGGGGCCAAGGCGTCCACGATGGCCCGCGGCCGTGCCCCTCAAGTTCCTACTCCTCTGGCGAAGTTTGCACTGCAGTGCTTCCATGACTGCTTGGAAAAGGCTTGCCCACGTGTGGCCAGAGCTCTCTGGCGGCGCGATGGTGCGTCGCTGTCCCCCGGTTTGGCTTTGGCACGCCGCCAGCCCCCATTGGCCCCGTGGCTCACGTTTGGCGGCGCTCTTAAGAGGCACGCTGGTGCGCCAAGAGCTCCTGCACGGCTTCGGCGCGTCCCATTCCCGCCTCCAGGGGGGGCGCAGGGCCGAATGAAGCTGGAGGCAGAAGCCAGGAGGAGGAGGAGGAGGAGGAGGAGGAGGAGGAGGAGGAGGAGGAGGAGGGGGAGGAGGAGGAGGAGGAGGAGGAGCAGAAGGCAGGAGAGTCGGGGCATGTGCTGGAGGGGCAGGAGATGGCGCGGCTGCAGCCACCTCAAGACCGTCCTCAGGCGCACGAGCCCGCCGCCGGCGATGCGCGGGCGCGGCGCTGGCCTGGCGGCCCTGGCGGCGGCCGCCGCCCTGGCGGTGCTGCCGCCCCGCGGGCAGTGGGCGCTGCTCCTGGGTCAGCCGCTGCTCGGCCGCGCCGGGCGGGCGCTGCCGACGGTGCGCTCGCCGGCGCCGCCGCAGAGGCCCCGCAGCCAGGCGGCACAGCCGCCCCGAGCCCAGGCCCTCGCGGTCCGGCGCGCGGCGGCGACGGCGCCGGCGGGCTCTGCGCGGGGCCGGCCCGAGACGGTGATGACGCTGGTGTCTACTGGCCTTCGGCCCGTCCCGCCACCGTGCCTGGACTGTGCGGTCGAGGGGAAGCCACACTCCCCCCTCCCCCACAGTTCAAGTTTGGCACGCTTGCGTGCTGCCGCTCGGACACTCAAGCTCGGAAGACCCGAAACCAACACCCAACATCGCATTCGGGGGGACGAGGGGGGAGTTCAGACCAGATGTTACGCGTGATTGTTGCTTATGGAACTGTTTCCGACACCTGTAGGTCAGATGCCTCTTGGGGCCCTCTCGGCCCGTTTCTGGGCGCTCGTGGCCCCGAACATGTAATGTTGGAGGCGCCGTGGAACCTCAGAAAACTTGGAATTTGGGACTTGGGCCCCTACCCAATCCCGAGGACCTGAGGACTTGAGCACTGCAGGGGACCTGAGGGCACTCCAA